GTCCTCATTAAGACATTCCAGCTGGTCGTTTGCTGTATATAACCAGAAACAGGAAACAGAGACAGTGGTGTTTGTGTGTCTGCATCCCTGACACACTGTAAGGTGTGTACTCTTTCTCTCCCCCGCTCTGTCACTGTCACTGAATTCACACATACACTACCGCTGAATCACCATTTTACTTTTCTTTTAAAATACACTAAAAATATTTTTTATAGTGACCCCCAAAATATAAACATCAAGTCTTTTATCAATGTGTTATCATTTTTTGTACTTTTGCAGTTTTTACTATATGGGAGTGTGTAAGTGAAAAAATGAGGGTAAATTACAAAAATAAAGAACAAAATTACAAGTAAATGTCAATCTAACAGACAACATGTAACCAGCCACACCGAGGTTAGCTGAAGGAGCTCATATCTAATGGAAACCAACAGTCAGCCCCCAAACTTCACCACCCTCGATACGTCGCGGTTTAATTTGAGCATCCTGTTCTTCAGTGATGTTTTCTCACCGTGCAGGTTCTGTATGACACAATATCTTATAAAGATACTTTAAGGTATTAGCTTGATTTTGATTTTTTTTTTCTTTTTGGAATATCCTGCATTTCCTTCAGAATGACACATAATCCCAGAAATAAGCATTGGGATACGTTAGTCTCCTGCAGGGGGCAGGAGCAGATCTGTGTCTTAGTGCATCTCAGTTTGAGGCTGTGTGACTTTTTCTTAGAATTCAGCATAAGAACTGGAGTGAGTGACTGTGCCTTTAAGTCCGTCCGTCCGTCCCCCACCCCCCCGCCAGTCAGTGCAGTGCTGTTATTTCTGCTTACCTGCCTCTGGTTTCTATTACTGACCCCCCAGAAATGGAATTGGAGAGTTATTGCTACTGGCCAGCTGGGCTCGTTCATCGCCCCACATGCTCTTTCCCCCCTAGTAACTGGGCTATTGTTCAGTTTTTTTGGTACTAACCCTAAGTGACTCACCTCCTGCGAGTGGGTGAGCTTTATTTCCAGCCCTGCTGACACCTCTAACCTCCGTTAGCTGCCCTGATGACCATAAGCTGCAGGGTGCAGGTTCCAGAATGACTCTACAGCACTGTGCAAAAGTCTGAGGCAGTCAGAGAAAAAGATGTTTAAATGATCTTCCTGTTGGTGAAAAACTATGATATTCTGTCTGTCGAAGTGTGTCAGCTTAGCCATTTAAAAACTTCCCCTAAATATTTGCAGTAACTATCCGATATACCCATGCATTTTTTATTCGACAAATTCCTCGCCTTGTTTGGCTAATCAATACCTCATGAAGTTATTTGACTCATTATATTAATTAATTAACTGAGCTGGTGGTAAATTTTAACAAAGATATGAAATGGTTGGCGCACCCCTAAGAGGTCTGGGAGCTGAAGCAGTGTTCATCGAGTCATACAACAAGGTATAAGTAACTTTTTAGAGAACTAAAGCAATTCTTGCTAGTTTTTGTTGTTACTCTTAATTTGCATATGTTCTAATCTTTAATTGTTTTTTTGTTCTGAGCAAATATACACTTAATACCCAGATAAATAGCTGTCGACATTTTCTTTGACTGCCTGAAACCTTTGCACAGTACTGCACATGATTGAGCTCTGATTACTGTGTTTCAGACCAATGGTTGACATTTGTTTGTTGACATTTTTTTGTGCCCATAAGTTTTAGCCACCCTAACCCTATACTTGTTTGTTCTATACAGGGGTCATAGGGGTCTAGAGCCTGTCCCGGAATCTACTGGGCACCAAGTCATCACAGGGCACACACACACACACAATTTGGTATCTCCAATTCACCTTAGCATGTTTTTGGGCTGGGGGGCTGGGGGGCTGGGGGGGGGGAGCTGAGAAGT